AACTTACAGTGTTTGCCCATACTATCTGAACTAATTGGTTTTATGTTGTTTATTTGTTGTGATATATATCTAATCAGTAAATTAACAAAAGGAGTTCACTTACAAGCAAGTTAGAAACTTGAATAATAAAACAATAAATGCACAAACATATGATCAAAAACAAGAATCACAATGGCAATTTGATTCTAATCAAAATTATTGCATCAATATGATTTTTTTAAATGCAGCAAAACAGATATAATGTAATTGTGCCGATTTATTACTTTCAAATACATTAGTCGATTTTTCTTCTTTTTTTCCCTCTTTATAATGTCAAATAAACAAGATCATCAACAACAGCTAAATACTGAAAATTCGCATAGAACAATCCATACTACTCGACTAAACCCTTTTACAACTGCCACGTCTTCTATTGCTACAACTGTCGAACAAATTCATGCACAACCAAATAAAAAATTTTCAACTTTTCCATCATTACATCGTGAAGAAGTCTCGCCGACAATTTACTATAGCAACAGCATTAATAAATCCACTGTTAAAAAAGACTTTGGTCGACGAAAATCGGTACAATCAATTTTTCATCATCGTCCACTTTTTGAGAGAGGTGAACTTGTGAAAGGTATGAATTCGAAACTGAGGAATAAAGAGGAAAAATACGATGAAATGGAAATTAAGGGAAAAGAGCTTGAAAACGAGAAGGGTACGAGTGAGAAATCAAAGATTGAAATAGAATTGGAGGGAACACAAGAAGACAGTGTTGTTGCTATGGTCAAAATAGCTAGAGATGATTTGCAATCGATATGTTCAACCGATATTTCGGATAGTAAATGGCAATAGAAATACAACGATAATATTTTTTGAGTTAAATGCTGATATTTTATTAAAACAAAAATTGCTATTATAGCTTTAAAGTAATCATTTTTCTTGTTGCTCAACTAAAAAAAATAACGATATATATGTATTATTATTATTATTAAAAAGAAACATTATATCCAAATCCAATGTAAATTACACCTTTACAATTTTCTCGTAATTCTTTCTTTGCAATTTTCCAGTCATCATCGTAAAGCAAAGACACGTTGTGTCTCTTCGTGTCTTTATAGTACATCTTACTGTTGTAGCCTTCAATCTGTATTTGTGACACGTCTTCCAAAGTTTTTATGAGTTGATTATAATTGATACTCCAAGGAATCGTTACTGAATAGCGCTCTACTTGAAAATCGACGGCGACACAGAACTTTTTGATTATATCGAAGTAATTTAGAAACGCAAATACAAATATGTAAACACAAATAAATATGTTTTTACCTCACAACCATTCAAGTTATCTTCCGTTTGGTTATCGTGGTCTTTGTCATTAATTAACTTTTCTAACATTAACTTAGATTTTTCTTGACAAACTAATATTACGTCTTATAAACACTTACTTTAATTCTTGTGAATGCCATTGACCTTTTATAATTTCTAAATTCATTTTCAATCTTGACAAAAGGACCCATAGGAAAATTTGCCTCAGGAATGACAATAATCGAGGTAGCATTATTAAAAATGCCACTAGTCAAATCTATGTTGACTTTTTTATGTTTCTCATAAAACTTTTTGGATATATTATTGACGAAAGATTTTCGAAAAATTAAAATAGCCATGGAAAAATATTCGAACAATTCACAAAAAATAAAATACAAACAGTTCGCTTGAACCCATCTTTCAAAAAGAACTCGAATTCTCTAAACTCCGCATAACGCACTGCGTAAATATCATCAAAATGAATACACATTTTATCCTTCGATCCATTAAAGCTGAAACAAATCACGTGATCCACAACAAGCAACATCAACACCAAATGGACATCGACATAAGTATCCATGGCGAAATTGGTAGGTTTGATGATGATTTTCTTTAATTCTGTGCGAATTATACTTCCACAAGGCTTGAAAATTTCGTAGGGTTTCGGTTGTGGACGGATTTCGTAATCTTGTGCATTATTATTATCATCCTCTATGGGATCTTTTTGGAAAAATTAGCTTTATTTTTTGAACAATTATGTGTATAAACTAAATAAGATTCGGTATATTATAGGTCATACTTTTTTCTCCTCTAAAGCTATTAACACTGTTGGCCCGATGTTTGTTGTATTCCATTTTTATTAATTGCCGAACTATCTATCTTTTATAATTACTACTGATACTTAATAAAAAGTAGTGCCAACGGTATTTTTCATTAAAAAAGAATAAAATGAAAAAAATAAGAAACGAAAATTATTAAATCTTATTTACGATAGAAATTGATCACGACTCAATCAAATCAACTAAGTTTCTGTAAACATTGATTTATTATTTTAAAACAGGCACGATGCCATGCTTAGTCACGACTAATAACTTCTTTGCTTTACCTTCTATATAAAGGTGATTTTCTTCGCTTCCTGAAATTAACCTTTATTTTTAATATTTAACTTTTACAACTTTCAGAAGGCAACATTGAAGAAATTCAACGAAAGCTCTTCTTTCACTCTTAGTCACAGCATTACGTTTACCAGGTGGTGTGCGACTTATGATGTGGTCCACCTTCACACCTCCTTCTTTGACACCAAACCAAGCATCAATTTCAAGAAACCCAACTTGCATGTCCTATTGGAACAAACGAGTCGCGAAATGCTTGCAGAAGTTGTGGTTTCCTACAGAAACAGGCTATGAAACTACAAAAAATTAAAGAAAATGAAAAAAGGGTTAATAATTTGTAGAAAACAGGTAAAAGGGGCAAGATTTACCAAAGGTTTATTAATACTAATGGTTGCCTAAGGTTTCCAGCTCTATTCAAAGTTTACCAAGGTAATAAACTTCGTGATAAACTAACGCATTTAACTTAAGTTTATACTGGCTTTAATATGGTTTGCTTTATGTTTAGAGTAAGTTTTCAAATTACATCGGTTTACTTAAACCTTTAGGTAAACCTTATTTATATACCCATTAGGTTTCAGTTTAATTTGCCACAATAGTTAACATTATTTCTTAGAACAAACACCTCATCACTAGGGATGCTAACGATTCAACTTTGAGTCGGTAGTCGTCCCATGTCGACTTTTTTTTAGAGTCGGTTGACTTGAGTTGATCATATGATTAGATATTGGACGGATGACAAGTTTTATAATAAATAATTCGAGATAAGTAATAGCTACGATATCATATATACGTAATTATGATGAAAAATTACTGAGTCGACTTTGATCCCTGAGTTGGTAAAAGTTGAGTCAGGTCGAGCGAGTTACTCATACAACGAAAAACACTTGCCAGGACGATTTATCAATTATGGCAGTGGCAAAAAAAGTATCTTCAAAAAACGCGTTTTATCCATGGGGTGGTGGACTACACACTTGCAAGAAATATTGAACTCGCTCGTGTGATATACTAGATATTATTAATTTTATGAGATTAGGTCTGTTAATGTGGATAACAATAAGCTAATGATTTCATTACTCATTGTGTTGATCGCTATACATGTATATGGGGAAGATTAAAACGGCGCAGTATCAATTTCATTGGAATTCTGTTAGATAAGGGGTTGGTTCGGATTGAGAAATTATAATAATTGTGAATCAGTAAAATCTACACACCCCAATAATAAATTACCAGAAATACAAAAAAAAACATAATAAAACATAGTAAAAATTGAAAGTTTTCTTTATGATGAAATTTTTACTTTATATCAAAATAAAACTAAGAATCTGTATTTAACATAAATTTTTAAGAATAGTTCAATTTTTATTATATTTTACTATGCTATTATATATCAATATTTTCTATATTATTTTTTATATTTTTATTGAATTATTATATTTTTAATTAATTAAACTATTTTTAAAAATTTGAATTTCTATTTGAATTTTGATTCAAATTTTGATTCAAATTTTGATTGGAATTTAATTTTAAATTTTAATTCAAAATTCAATTTAATTTGTATTTTTATTGGAAATTGAAATTTTATAATTTATTTATAAATATAATATATATTTTAGCATTAAAAAAATAATTAATCAATTTAATAATTAGTTATTCCTTTTATTTTTTAATTTTGTTAGCTAATAAATAGCTTTTATTTAATTAATAATCTCTCATTTTAATTTAGTTTATTTATAATCTCTTAGCTTAATTATAAAATTATATTTGTTATTTTAATTTCTTGTCTAATTATAAAGTTTTAATTGTTTGAATTAATAAAAAAATTATTAATAAACTATTCTTAAAGTTATAAAATATAATTATCTTTATTAAAAAATTTTAAAGCTTATTTTAATTACTTATAATATAAATATATTATATATTAATTATTTTTAAAAATAATATTAACTCTATTACTTATAGTTTTTATTAATTATATTATTCCTCTTATTTAATTAATATTATATTTATATATAATCAAACTCTTCTATAGTTATCACTCTTGAAAAAGCAAAATTTGGTAACTATAAAAAGGATATTACAACAAGAACACACATTACCTACCTTTAGTGATAAATCTTAGTCTCTCCCATTATAAAAACTTAATCTTTTTCACTCTTATTTTAATAAAACACGTGATTAATACATCAAGAACTTAATATCAATAAAAACGGTAACATCATGAAAACAAACAAAATACTATTGCTATTTCTAGTAATGATTTTATAGAAGATATAGAATTAATTATTGCTATAAGAGCAATAAATAATTAAAGTTCATATTTTTCTAAAAATTAGTGATTTTTAAGAAAAATTTCTCTTATTATTGTTATATATATATTCCTTTTAACTTAATAGCAATTTTTTTTTTGAATATTTAATTAAGCAGGAAAAACTTTCTTTTAAATATTTGATTAAGCAGGAAAAATAATAAATTATAATATTTGTAATTTTAATTTATCATTTTTTGTAACTTAATATTGTTATCATTTTTATATATTCTATAAACTTTAAATATATAACATGACTTTCACATAATTTAATCAAATATAAGTGATAATATAATAATTAAATGTTTAAAACTAAGATATTAAAAATCAATAATACAGTAACAATCAAAAATAATGCAACAAAGAATTAAAATCTTTTAAATTTGTATATTTTTAAAAATAAATAACAAAATTAATTTTAATTAATAAATATAATACATTAATACTAATAGTTTTATTTTTTTAAATTTATTTAATTATTATTAATTTCGATTTTGAGATAATCACGTGATTTGCATGAAATGCGTGTTGCATTATTTTTGATTTTTTTTTAGTTAATTAGTGATACTAAATAAAAGATATCATCGGATAACATCAGAGGGTGCAGTTCTATACAGATCTTTGGGTTCAAAGTTTTTCAAAGATCTTTGAATCTGGCAGCGATCTGTAAAGAAAAAAATAAAAATTCTGCGCAGATTTGCAATAATACACAGATATACGCAGAATTTTTATTTTTTTTAAAAAATTCTGCGCAGGACTTTGTAATAGCATTTATAACAGTACTTCATAATAGCATTTATAATAATACTTTGTAATAGCATTATCAATTTCATAGAACAGTAAAATTTGACATTTAAAGAGTAGTAAATATAGTTTATTGTAAACATTAATAATAAAAAT